CGGGTCACTGGGCAGTGGGCACCGACACTCGTACTAAAGCGGAGTGCACTTTACTTAAACAACGAAAATAAAAGCTAATAGTCTTTTGTTGCTTTAACGTTGTACGTAAAATACATTCACTCATACTGTAAAGTTTTATTTCTCAGTTTGATAGTTGCTATTTCAAAATTTTTAAATTGGAATTTTCAGGTTAATAGAGCGGTAGAAACGTATACTTGTAGATGTCTGCAATAAAAAAGAGTATCTGATGTCGGCAAACTAAATGAAAAAATAAAAAGAATTCAATTAACGACCAAAAACATACAGACGATTTTAGATCTTCCTTCTTGAAAATCGGTTAAGAAATGGTAGGATTTATTATTTGCATACTTAGATTTATTTATACCAAGTTAGTGTGTACTTAGGCTAGGCTGCACAAAGCAATACAAGCGCCCTCTGTGACCTAACGCGTATCCACTCCCCGCTGGTTAGTACCGCGGCGTCGGACACGGGTTTGCTCTCAGCGGCCTCTGTTGTTTCGCGGCTTTCATTTCACTGTAATGTCGACAGTTTAAGCAACAATTTGTTCCAACCACTTTTAAATGAACCTTTTAAAAGGAAAAAGAATTGAATTAAAAATCTTTTTGGACTTTCTTTTAAAATTTTATATGATGGTATTTCTTTTTCTGAGAAACGCACTTAAAGAAGCCTGTATTCACTCTACAATTTGGGTATCTTTGTTAAAGATAACCAAACATCTATAGAATAATTATTAATAACATTAAAGAAATATTTTTCAGTTTTATTTCATTTATTTATATAAGTATACACAACAGCTAATTTAATTAATTAAAACGAAAATAGAAAACAAGAGTTCACAAATCCGATAAATTAGCTAATAAGTAAAGTAAGTGCATTAATATAAAGTTAAGTAAACAATCTAAAACAAATAAAATTTTGTATAACTGGTTAGTAATGACGACATCTATTTTCGTTCATAAGAAATTCTAACAAGACTTAAAGCTTGAAGCGCTTATACATAAACTAAATGAAGTTTATCTGCCGACAGATGACAATAGTGATATTTCTAAGCAATCAAAAAATAGATTTTGGCTGTCTAATTAATATTAGTGACATCTATTGTCGTGCATTAGAAATTTTAATAAAACGAGGCGGTAGTAAGCCAACAATGTTACTCTACCAGTTAACTGATGGCACTAGTGATTTTTCCAAGCAAACGAATGTAATTCAATTTTTGGTTGTCTGATTAGTAATAACGAAATCTATTGACGCTCATTACAAATTCTGACGACGAAACGGTTAAAAGTTAATTGAAGTTACTCTACCTGACGAAAGATGGCGTTAGTATTTTTCTAAACAATCAAAAACAAAATCATATTTTGGTTTTCGGATTAGTAATAACGACATCTATTGACGCTAATTATAAATTCTAACAAGGGAAACCATTTAAGTCAAATTAAGTTACTCTACTTGCCGACAGATGGCATTAGTGTTATTCCAAGCAATCAAAAACAAATTAGTTTTTGTTTGTCTGATTAGTAATAACGACATCTATTGTCGTTCATTAGAAAATCTAACTAGACTTGAAGTGGCTACGACAAAAGGACGTTACTTTATCTGTCGACAGATGGCATCCTTAGTGTATAAACATGAAAATTTAAAATCAACGAATTTTTGAAGAGTGTAAAAGGCGTAGTAGAATGATTTATTACTTTGTTTCTGTTAGATAGTATCTTATCAAACTGTAAAAATAAAATATACAATATAAATAAGAGCATAAATTATTTTACACAAGTCCTAATTTTAAAAAAATCAATAATAAAAATAATTTTATGAGAGTTAAAACAAAATAACACAAATAAAAGGTAAGCTTTGATTTAAATACTATATAGTGTTATAGTTACGAAATCGATTTTTCAAAATACTGTTTGAGAACCGGTTTTTAGAAAATACCCATAAAGTTATTTAATTCAATTCAAAGTCGAAAATCATTTATTGAGTTAAAATGAAGGCGAAAGCGCTCGCTTAATGTTGCCGATAAATTAGTAATAGAGGTGATTCCGGCAAGCTGCTGTTAGTCACAATATTGTTGGTTTACACAGAGCGCGATTCAAACGTTTTAGTTCACTGTTTTACTTAATTTGATTAACATTCGTAAATAACACGAAATGTATAATAATATATTGACAACGTAAAAGTTGCAAAAGTAGAAAAGAAAGCATTAATACGATGATTTTGAAAATTTTGGGACCTCCATCCTGCCACCTCAATTTGAACTTTGTTTGAAATGTTAATAATTATTAAGAAGGACAACATTTTACAAGATTCATAGATATTTATGATTGTATACCGAATTTAGTGAAAAGTAATTATTCGGATTTATAAAACATCTGCTTTAGAGCGCGCGCACAACTTTGACTACACTATCGCACAACTGTTTAGTCTCGCTTTGTTGTTGTTACGTATATGGAGGTGCGCACTACTCGATTTTAGTTGTGAAACTAAACAGTTGAATTGGATGCAAAACAATCGACAATCGCACAACAGTTGTGCGATTGTTTATTCAAAGGTGTGCCCGCGCACTTGACGCTATAAGTGGGGACTGATTTTTACATAATATCTTATTATGCTACAAGTTTACTTTCGTTGACATTTAATGTCGTTGATTGACGAAAATCCATGTCTTCATTTTGATAGAATTTTCTTTTTTTTAAGCACATTATAAACAACTTACATACATAGCTATATAAAATAATGAGTAGATGTATTAATGGACCGAGGAAGGTAAAAAATTTCTGCAAATGGAAATTCGTAATTTCAGTCTTCCCATCTCAATTACGAGTGATGTGTACGGATTTATAAGAAATAAATATTTTCTAACATTATGCAAATGTGTAACAATTAACAAATTACGTTCTACTTCAACTCTCATTTAGAGATAGATTATAGAAATTTCATTGTTATTCCACTTTGCAAGGCAGTGAAAGTAAAAGACTTCGACGTAGGTGACCGCGGAGCACTTAGCGCTTAATGGCTCCATTGCCCACTGCCCACTGCCCACTGCCAAGCCAAGCTTTTGTACCGGACATTACGACTGTATCCAACTTTTAGGTTATTCTATGATGATTCATGACTTACAAATCAATTAAGTGCACTCTCTTGTTACGTAAAGATTATTTTTAAAATGTCGGTTTTGAACGTTTTTTATTTGTTTGTTTCTGTGTTCAAAATATTGGCAAATTTATTTATATTACTTGTAACGTTATATTTAAGCTGTAAGCTTGTTTGAGGATGGTTTACAACAATACTGAAATGTCGGAATTTGAACTCACGATTGATCAGGAATCCGTACTCATAGCCATTTAGCTTTGGCGCTTACATTTGATTTTGTGTACTTTTTTTTTAGTTTTTAGTTGTTTTATATAATGTCGATATTTGTTAACTTTGCATATGAAGGAAATAAGACGCAGTAAATATTTAATAGCAGATCTTACAAAATCACTTTGAAAAGTAAATTTGACACGTCAATGATACTTATATGTCCCCGCCGGGTTCCGAGAAGATTGAACTATATAAGTTGAAGTGAAATTAGTTAACCACACGTTCGGCGAGCGGCAAGCCCCGGCACTGCAGTAACTTAGCTCGACTTCTCCTAATATGTGTTATTCCCATATAACGAAATTACTTTCTTCCAACTGGTCAATACTTCCGGCAAACACTACGCAACATCTCGCAACAAGCTCTGCAGTTTGTAAACTCGTTGATGATTATTATCTACAGTTAATTAACTACATAAAACAATGTTTCATTGAAGAATTAAAATTTAAAAATAGAAATACAAAAATTTTGTTTGATAATAATCTGATTGTGACGAAAACATTGCTTATTTTTTTGACATTTTTTTATTTACGAAACTATTTGTGCATTGCATTAGCTAAATATTTTTCTTTCACTCTATTACTGGTAATGTCTTTACGTATATTGATTTGCCAACATCTCGATAACGATCATGTATAAACGTCTTTTATTAAGTATTTCGTACATCTTTTGTTCACTATTGAGTACACGTATATTGCAGATTGCAGACAATGTTCCCGCCTTATTGGAGCTTCCCGGAAGTGCGGACATTTTGTTGAGGACGTTTCACAACATGGCCGCCACACAACACAACACCGATGATAATTGTTCTCTATTCCGATAACATCTAATACAAACGGTTGCGTAAAATTAAAAGAATTACAAATTTTATTTATTGCAGAACTTTACGATCACTATTTTGAAACTATTTAAGAGTTTTTCATGTTTTGTAGATTACAATATAATATTTCACCTCTAAATAATTTTTATTGACATAAGGTAATAATAATAAGGTGTTACGTAATGCAACTGTGATGAAATGGGAATCTAGAGTAGGTATATTGTTCACTGTTTAACGTCCATGGAAATGATCCATATTACTGTCTGAGTGGCATTGTAAAGCACCATACACACTATCTAATATATAGTCGATGTTTTTAGTGATATAATATAGTTACAGTTTATAGGAATATTGGTAGTAATAGTTATTCAATATCAGTAAATGTTTGCATAAGAAATTTACTGGCAATTCTTTGTCTAGCCTTACTTCCTATGCAATATATATCCAATTCTGTGTGAGTAAATATCTGTCTTTAAGTGTCTGTGTGTGCAGTATATTATTTTTTTAGAAAATTTTGTGTTTTGTTACGACTTAATTTTGCATAAAATAAAAATTAATCGTCCATCAGATAGAATGTTAACAGTTTTAAATATAAATATTAAAAAAAAATATTTTGATTTCTCAAATACATACTTCCTTATTGATTTTTTTCTAGACTTTTCTAAACAAAACTGCTTCTAATAGGTTAATAGATCCTAGATACATAAAATTATTTATTACATTTCCTTTTTATTACAGAATTACATAAAACAATTTAATGTA